AAATACAGAAAGAAGGAAAGTTTAGGCACTGATATGGAATAATTGGAATTTTCTTTTTTATTAGTACCTATTTGCAGTACATAAATGATAGAGTTCTCTGCTAGGTAAAATGGCTCTGGAAGCCCTACCTCCTAAATGTCTTTTCCCGGCAGATAATAAATCCCTCAGGGAAACAATAACCTAATTTTCCCGCCTCAAAGCTCTCCCGCTTACAGTCCTTCCCACCGAGAAGTTCAAACTTGCGGATGGATTTAAACCTCACCTCTGGCTGCAGCCAAGCATCCACCTCCACTATGCCCCCCCCCATACCCCTTACCCATATAAGAGGTCACCTAGCCAGCCCCTGGCCACTGCTCTGCCATTGTTTGAGACAACCCAGCACCTCACCCTTAATAAAGGCCTAGTCTCAGGTGTTCGTGTTTTCGGCTCATTCTCATCCTCTCAATAATGTTTACATTTCTTTCTTTCTTTTTTTTTTTTTTGATACCAGGGAATCGAATTCGGGTCCTTGTGCTTGGGGGCAGGCGGTGGAACCACTGAGCTAAATCCCCGGCCCCAAAATGTTCATATTTTTTGTATGGAGTTGTTACCCATACATAACACAGTTTAATTCTTTTTCCATCCCCTTTCCCTCCACCCTCCATCTCTTTATTCTCTTCCTTTTTGAGAAAGATCTATCTCCCTACTTCCTGGTATATGTTATTTTGCTCTTCTGTATAATTTGGGTGTCTCATATAAGAAAAACCATGTGGTATTGGAGTTTGTGTGTCTGATTTATTTTACATACACTTCTGATGGGAGTATAAATTAGTGCCAAAATCTTGGAGAACTCTTTGGAAGTATCTACTAAGACAAGCTTTATGGTCCATCAACTGTGCTCTAGAAATATGTGCTCTAGAAATCCTTATCTTTATACCAAAAGCCATAAACCAGAATATTTGTAACCCCATATTGTTTTTAATACTGAGAACTATAAACAAATCAAATGTCCACCAACAGAAAAATGGAAAGCACATGGTGTTATATTCATTCAATGTGAAAAAAAGACTAAACCAAAAATATTACTGTGGATGGACCTTAGAATTGTCGTATTAGAGGAACCCAAACATAAAAGAACATTTAGTGATTGGTTCTATTTGCGAAGAGTTCAAAAACAGACAGAACTCATCTGTGGTTGTTCGAGGGGTTGATGGCAAAGGGTTGGGTGGTTCTGTTTTATTTCATGATCCAGGGAGCCATTGCAGGGTTTGTTCACTTTTCACTTGACTATTAAACTGAGCACCTATGACTGACCTAACATATATGTGATGCATTGTTATCATTATCATCATTACTAAGAAGTAAAAGTTCACTTAAGAAGTATATGTGAATCTACTTGTTCCTTAGCTGTTTCATTAGTCCTTGTCTCTTGGAAATGATTTTTTTGAGACGAGATCTCCCTGTGCAGTTCAAGTTGGCCTTGAACTCATTATGTAGCCCAGGCTGGCTTTAAGCTCGTGACAATCATCCTGCCTTAGCCTCCCTAGAGATGGGATTACAGGCATGCAAAGTGATTTTTTTGTTGTTGTTTTTCCTTTTATTAGTGCATGTTTGCAGTACATAATGGTTGCAGTCATCGTGGGGAGGTGGTACCTGTAACATACACATCTCAATTCTTTTTACATCCCCTGCCTGTAGTCGTGTTCTCCCTCCTTCCTCCACGTCTTGTTCCTCTTTCCATTTGCAAAAGAGCTATCTCCTTGTTTCCTAATATCTACCTTTTATTTTGCTCTTTAATTTTTTTTTTTTTTTTCTGTACCTGTGATCCAACTCGGGATCTTGCCTATTCGAGGCAGGCGGGGGAACCACTGCGCTAAATCCCCAGCCCCTTAATCTTTAATTTTTACACTTTGGGATTCTCATATACAAGAAACCATGCCATATTTGAGACTGGGTGTCTGATTTATTTCACTTAAATGTTGTGGCCTCAGGTACATTTATTTTTCTACAGATGTCTCACATGAATCCATCTCTATAGCAGAGAAGTACTCCGTCGTGTAGAAATACCGCATTCCTCTACTGATCCATAGACAGCATTATTCACTATCATGAGCTGTGCTGCTATAAACTCGGTTCTTTCTCCTCCTTCCCCCCTCCCTCCTTCCTCCTTTCCTTTTGTTTTCTTCCTTCGTTCCTCACTTCCTTCTCTGCTCTTTTCCTTTTTTTTCTTTTTCTTTCCTTTTTCCTTTAGCCTCAAGCAAGCCTCAAATCCAGTGGAGATCTCTTGGCCGAGTCCCAAAGGCCTCCCACCCCTTCCATCCCTGCCTCGCGCAGGCGCGCCCCTAGCGGTCACCTCGCTCCCCCAACTGCTTCCCAGCGCCAACCGCCACTGCTGGGCCTGGGATCCAGGACGCCACCATGCTGAGCGTCCTGCTTCTGCTCAGCGGGCTCAGAGCGCTGGGCGAGCCCCTGACAAATGGTGAGTATGAAGACTCCTCTTTCGAGCTCCCCGCCGCTGCTGTCTACCCCGGCTCCGCGTCGCTCTACCCCACCCCGGGAAAGCTCCCTCCCTTGGGGCCCCGGAGCTGGGGCCACCACGTGGCGTCTTTCTGCCGGCCAAGTACAAGCCCGGTGAGGGGCTCCTCGCTTGCCCTGGGACCCCCGGAAAGATGTGAGATCCCACGCAGGACTCCCCGGTGCCCCAGGATGGGAGTATCAGCCCCTGCCCTGCAGTCTGGGCGGGGGCCAAGGGTGAGGCCCAACCTCTGCCCCTAAAGAGGGCACCAGATCCTGAAGCAACACACCCGTTTCTTAGAAACAAACAAACAAACAAACAAACCTCTTGGGATTCTAGAAAGAAATGAGAAAGCCAGGGCTTTGGGAAAGAGTAAAACTGAGAGGTGGCATTTGGAGTACAGATTAGGGACTTTGGGAGGTTGCTCTAATGTGACGTTTTGCACCTTGCAGATTCGGAGAGACTACGCGTGCAAATTACAGTTCCTGAGAAAATGGGCCCACTAACAAGCGATGACTCGGAAACGGAAGTAATGAGTCGCCAATGCTGTTAGCCACTTTAAAATCACGTGCATGTTTTGTTTCCTAGAAGCTAATTTTTGCCGTTTTTCATCCATGCACATTTGCTGAACTTTATACCTGATTTTTCTTGAATAGAATAGAAACCCTTGTTTTGAGGGGGGAATTTACCAAGATTAACACTGTTTCCTAGAAAACATGGTGCAGAGATGCTGGGTATAAAAGCCCCAAGTCTCACTTTCCAAATCTGTTTCCCTTTGGGGGATCTTTGAATATTGACTGGCCTGACCCTTGGATAGCCTCTTTCCGTGCCTCACCAGCCTGTACCTGTATATTAATGCGACATCATACACCAAAGTTCATGCTAGAGAATATAAATCTTAGAGTAAAATATTAAATATTTGGAAGAAAATATGAGAAATAGTTTTAGAATTTTGTAACGGAATTATTGAACAAGAGGGAAAAGTACAAATTCTTAAGTAAGATATTGAGGAATATCTAGACTTAAACAAGTAAATCTTTAACCACTAATAAAGTGAAACATGCTTTAATCCCATATTTTCTAACCCATCTACTACACAAATTAGTGCACATAAAGTATCCAGAATATATGAAGTTGTACATATCAATAAGACAAGAAAAAACACAAACATTTTATAACATTATCAATGGTAATAAAGTATTAAATTTGAGGGGGTAATAAATATCAAATATATATTTAAATTGAGAAATGGACAATGGAGTAGAGGATTTATTTCATAGTCATCAATGGCAAAAATTAAATACAAGAAAACAAGATGTAATTAGAGACTATAAATAAAAAAGTAATGTTATTTTCTGCTTGTGAATATGTGAATTGGTGCAACACTTTGAAGATCATTTTTAAATTGCGAGTGAAATTGCAGAAGCACTTAGTGTTTGATAAAAGGTAACATGCCTCGCAAAGATGCATATTTTTTTGCACCATTGTATATAATAACAAAAGCAACTAGAACTAAAGGTCCATTAGCAGGAGAAGTGAATAAATGTATGGCACATTTCAAAATTAATTATACTGCATAGAAGATAAATGACAGTGCTGCCTGTCTGGATGGCCATGATAGCAAATGTCTGAGTAGGTCTTCCTATGTCAGAGGTTGTTCTATAAGCAGCAGACAAAACCTCCAACTTGTAGGATACAATTTATGTAAAGTCAAAATGTATGCAGAATAAACCCCTCTTTAAATAAACAAATATCTTGAACAAATGCAAAAATATACACAAGAAAGATAAGCATAAAATTCAGGATACTAGTTAGCTGGGTGTAGGAAAAGGAATACAACCCATGGAATAGCTTAGTACTATTTTCAAGTATTTGGAATGCTTTCTTGTTCAACATAAGCATTGGTGATATGCTATTCTATATATTTTTTCTTTAAATTTTATACATCTAAATGTAATAATTAAAAATAACAATGGGGGCTGCGGATTTAGCTCACTGGTGCCGCACTTGCTTTGCAAAGGCAAGGTCCTGAGTTTGATCCCCAGTACCAAAAAACAAAAAAACAAAAAAAACAAAAACAATTGGATGTGGCTCATACAGACGATACAATGCCTTTTAAAATTATACATGAAGTTGGGAGGCCAAGGCAGGAGGATAGTTGCAAGTTCGAGGCCAGCCTGGACTCCATAGATCCTGTCTCAAATATATATACATAAATTCATATATATATATATGAAGTTGAAATGTTGAAAGCTTCCCCGTAGAGATGAAGAAGGAAACAAGGGTGCCCACTGTTATTTTTTTCCATTTTTATTTTCCGGAGGTTCCAACCAGTGCAGTAAGGAAAGAAAACAGCTCTGGCAACACTGTCGTCCCTCTCATTTCCAGGAGCATCAGAGGCCTTTTGGTATCACGAGATTTCACAGAGGAGCAGTGAGGTGTAATAATTGGAGGGGAAGAAATAATGCTAGCTTTATTTGTAGATGAAATGGTTACACACAAAACAGAATCCAAAATAATCTAGAGGAGAATTAGAATGAACACAGCAAATTTTCTATAGACAATATCTATTCTGGCAATAAAAAAATTCTTGGGAAGATTTAATTTATACTACAGAAAATCTAGATGCAAATAAAGATAAACAAAACTTCACTGAAAACAAGATGAGAGAAAATAAGGACTTTAATCCCTGAAGGTGTATTATGTATGTGCTTGTGGATTGAAAGGCTCTGGAATGAAAAGATGCCCGGTCTCCACGCAGTAACCTAATGAGAAGCATTGCCCCTTCACCAGATAGCATTTCTTAATCTTCCCATTAATAAAATAGATTCATGAATATTGCAAACTATGAACACATTTTTACTTTGGACACATTTCTAAAATATATAAGTATTATACATTAGGTGTTAATTCTTTGCTCTATTGTATATAAATTTTCCATTGAGTAATTTAGTTATATTCTGTCCATGGTAAATATGAGTTTTACAGTGATCTCAATCTTTTGTAAGCTAAAACAATGATTAGATGAGAAGTAATCATTCCTCAGATTCTATCTTACTGAGTAAATTTTTTTTTTTTTCTTGGTACCAGGGATCGAACTCTGGTCCTTGTGCTTGCCAGGCAGGTGGTGGAACCACTGAGCTAAATCCCCGGCCCTTTACTGAATAAATTTAAAAATTACCAAAGAAGAAATCCCACCACAAATCATATTTTCTATTTTTTTCGAAAGCCAAGATTTTAATATCAAATTCCTTTGAAATAAATCAACATTGAATTCTGAAGTTTTCTCTTTATTGTACTAATGTGTTTTGTGATGCAATTATTACTGTAAAATGATAGTTTCTAACATTTCTTTTCTCTCTACATTTTAAATGTGCTTTTCTGCCAGGTGTCCTACAAAATTGCAATTGAAGGGACAACATATATTGTGAACCTAACGCAAAAGTAAGTGATCCTCATTAATCTTTTTTTTGAAATGTCTTTTTTTTTTGGTACTGGGGATGGAATTTAGGACCTTGAGTTTACGAGGCATGGTGCCACTGAGCTAAATCCCAGGCCCTTTATGTACCGTCTTGGTTCTATTTATTATTGTTTATAATTATCCAGAAAGTAATTATTTCACATTTTGAAATGTTTCTGGCTCATTTTCTTATATTTTTTGCTTTTAAAAAATCTTTTCTGGGCCTGGGGATTTAGTTCAGTTGTGCTGCCACCTTCCTTGCAAGCGCAAGGTCCCAAGTTCAATCTCTGGTACCAAAATCTTTTCTGTCACTATAACAAATATCTAACACCCCCATCCTCCTCCCAGGGACATCTGTTCCCAGGGACAACAGACTTGTTCTGCATTATCAGTGAGGCTTCAAGAGGATGAATTTTGATAATTTTCCATCTTTCTAACAATATAAATACGGCTTATTTGCAAGTTCCCTTATATTCAACTTATATTTGAAGCTAATGAATTTTGGGTGAAAATGCACCCCATATCAAGCAAAAAAGAAAAATCAAACTTGAAAGAGTCCTTGTTAAAAAAAAGAAGAGTCCCCAAAAAAAAAAAAAAAAAAAAAAAGACTCCTTATTTAAATGATAAGAATAGACTTCAAAAAATAACAAGAGCCACAGCCCTGCAAATAAAGTCCAAATCAGTATGAAAATTAGAAATATGCCTGCATCATTTCTAGAATTCATAGTTGTGATTCTTTTATACATCCTAAATTTTGGAAAAAAATTTTATATATAAGATAAATGGTAATGACTTGAAGGAAGACACTGAAAACTCACTCAAAATTACTTCTGGAAATAAAGATTTCCTGCATTTTTTGCAAGAAACACATAGGGAAATTCCAAAGAGTATCTTCCAGCTGCTACTTTCAAATGCCAAGTGATGGGACCAGAGTCAGGCTCTGAGACCAGGTCTGAAACAAACCGTAAGTATCTGTCAGCATCGCAGTACAATACTTATTTATGCGCCTTTAATATAGGCTGAAATATAAATTACAATAGGTTAGAAATGAAAGAACTGAATTAAAATGCAACCACAATAACAGTTCTTGTCTTATATTTTTATATGAGAAAAAGATACAGAGGGCCAGGGATGTAGCTCAGTGGCACAATGCCTGCCATGCAGGCACAAAGTCCTGAGTTCAATTCTAGGTTCCAAAAAAAAAAAGAAAGAAAAAAGGTACAAAATATACAATATGGTTAATAGTATGTAACTAATTAATATGATCACATATTATGCAAGTTACCAATAATACATTTATTTTCTTGCACACAAGCATTCAAAATGCATTGAAGTAAAAACAGTCACACACCAGAACAAAAGAAATCTTTCAACTAGTAAACACTAGCACAATAAAATGAGAACACAATTACAGCTGCTTAATCAAACAAGCACCAGCTCTTTGGAAATGCAATAATAGGTGCCAAATATAAAAAAATCAAAGCAACGAGGCAAAATATCAATAAAGTAAGAACAAATGGAAGGTTACAAGTCAAACACTTTTGATGTGAATGAAGAAATAAATCTGTAATCAATGCACAATGCAACTTTTGCTGTTTTTACATTTTGTATGCAAAAGATGTGAATAAAATATGCCATGCAAATGCAAGGGCTGGATAAAATCAAGTGCTGGGGCACAGTCCCTGCTGGGGCAGAGTAAGGAAACTTCAGTGATTTTTGTTATTCGTCTGCCACAAGTCCAGCCAGCCCAACCAAGGGTTCCTGGTGGCTGTTTAGTTTCAGCAGCGTCCCAGGAATACTTTTTATGGATTTATTCCTTTCTTTTTTCTTTTCAACATGAAAATCTTTATTCTTTAATCTGAACTTCCATTCTTTACTTAATCACCGTTACTTCTCTCCTTAAGGCCCAGGCTTCTGAATTTCTGAGTGTTCGTAACTGTGGTTCATGAGCCCTGTTTTGTGACTCTTACCTGCCATGTCTTATCTGCTCTTTCTGTGGATGTGCAGGACTCTCTTTGGAAATGCCTCTACGGGGCCTCTGCTTGCTCCCTCCCGCATCCATTTGGTGGGCTCAGTGTTTACATTGTGAGGATCCCTGGGTTTCCGTGATGAAGGAGCTGTTTGGGATTCATTTTGAATCTGCATAATATATACAGTTAAAGATTTTCTCTTTTTTATAGTCAGAAATGTTTTGACCTGGGTATCTTCCTTCTGTCCCTGTGTATGCACAGCAGGTGCCTCGGTCTTTCCAAGCTGGTGAAAAGACCATCAATTGGACATCTTACAAACAATAGAAGTGTATTGCCCACAGACATTGAACTCCGTCTAGATGTTGTAGATTAGTATCTTGCAGTTTCTCAACTCTGCTGTTTCCAAAGCAGCCACAGACCCTATACAAATGAGTGAGTGTGGCTATGTTGCACTAGCACTTTATGTACTCTCTTCTTACTGTCTCCATGGAACATGGATATTGAGTTTCTCAAACACTCTTCTCCCTGTGTTGATGATCATATATTTTGTACTAACCTGTTATGATGAATTGCAGTGTCATCTTTCTAATACTAAATCGAGCTTTATCCCAGGAATGACCCTACGTTTTTTTTTTTGATACTGGGGTTCGAACTCAGGTCCATGCACTTGCGAGGAAGGCAGCAGAACCACTGAGCTAAATCCCCAGCCCAACCTTATTTGTTTTTGATATGTTATCTTTTTGTGTATTGTTTAGTTGACTGTACTTATTAATGTTTTCTTTAGTATTATTTATTGTGATTATAATGAAGAGACAAGATTGTAGCACAGAAAGGACTCATAGAAGATTTGTTGCATGGTGATACGGGTTTTTACTTTATTTTGTTTTTTGAGGCAAGGTCTCACAATGGTCTTGAATTCCCTATGATCCTCCTGACTCAACTTCTTGAGTGCCAGAATTACAGGCATGTGCCACCATGCTCAACTTGCTTTTAGTTTTAATGTTCACTTTTCTCTTTGTTTATAATTTTTTCAAGTGAACATTAAGATGATGACTCATTGACCATTTTTTGCTTTACTCTTAAAAATTTAACATTAATTTTTTTCCCTGTAAATACTGCTTCGCCTTACCTCACATTTTTGGATGTGCTGTATTTTCTTTGATTTATCATTAGAAAATATTCTCTGACTTACATTGCACCTTGCTTCTTCTTTGGCTCAGGAATTATTCAGTTGTATCTCTTAGTATCAATACATCTGGCATTTTTCTACTTCTTTCCTATAATTTCTGATCACAGAACATTTTCTGATTTCAGTCCATTAAAGGACAATGGCTCTTGTTTTATGAGGTAATGCATATTCAGTTTTGGTAGATGATCTATCTAAACTTGAAAACTGCATGTAGTCTGCAGTTATTTGCTGCAATGCTCTTTTTAAATTATATCATTAAATTCTTTCATAACAAAACTGATTTTTTGCTTTTTTCAACTCTATAGTCATGTGTGTCAAACTCTTCCACAATAATTTTTAAGTTGACTTGTTCTCTTACATTCTTTATTTTATAATTACATATCTTGATACTGTCTTGATCGCATAAACATTAAAAATTAAACTTGTTTATTTTTCTGGTGAATAAAATTTCAACATTATAAAGTAACTACTTTCCAGTAAAATGTTTGCCTTAAATTTTGTCAGATTTATATATCACTGACACATCTTGCTATACCCTATAGTTTCCTTTCTTCTTTCCTTTTTTTTTTTTTTTTCTGCTGCTGGGGATAGAAAACCCAGGCTTTGCTCATGCTCATGCTAAGCAGACACTTTACCTCTGAACTGCAGCCCTACACGTCTTCTCAATTTTTAAGCCTGGATTTTAGTGCACTTCAAAGTATCATTTTTACTTTGTAATAATGACTTTTGTATATTTTGAAAGAAATCATTGTCTACATTTGGCCTTGAATACATGCTACTGTATTCTTTCTAATGGCTTCTGCTATTTTCACTTTCTTATTTTGATCTACAATTCACCTGGAATTGGTGCTTATATATATTCTGTGAGCATAAAAGTCAAGATTGAATTACCTTTTCATACTAGCACCCCAAGATCCAACACATGATATTAAAAAGACCACCTTTCCCCATTGTACTGTAATGTAAATCAATATATGAGACATTCTCTATATGTACTCTTTTCTTTCCCTTCTATTTGTCTATGTAGTTATTCTTCAGCCTTGTCTATTTATGTATTCAGACACTACACAGTCTTAATTACTGTGGTTTTTCAATATCAATATTATGGTTTCAATATCAATATTATAGTCTTCAATATCAACAGTTTTACTACTATAGTTTTTAATTTCAATATTAACAGCTTTATCCTTCAACAAAAATCTCTACTCCTCTTGAACTTTTGAATTTCCATGTAGCTTTTGTTATCTTTTTTTTTTTTTTTTGGTACCAGGGATCAAACTCGGGACCTTGTGCTTGCGAAGCAGGCAGTAGAACCACTGAGCTAAATCCCTGGGCCTAGCTTTTGTAATCTTTTTTTTTTTTTTTGTACCAGGGATCGAACTCAGGACCTTGCGCTTGCAAGGCAGGCAGCAGAACCACTGATCTCCGGCCCTGTTTATATATTTCTATCTGCAGTTAGCTTTGATATGTCTTAGACATTGGTTCTATTTTTCTATTGCAAAATTGCTTATTTTTAATATTGTTTTTTATTTCTATTATGCCTTTATTTGTGATTAACCCTGTTTTTTTCCTCCAGGCTTTTAAAGATACATTTGGCAAATACAAATTGCATATATTTATAGATTACAACATATTATATTTTATGCACTGTGAAACAAATGAAGCTAATGAACATATCTATCACCTCAAATGCTTATTTTTGTAAGGACAATGTTGTCTGACCCCTTAGCAGTTTTCAATTCTGTAGTACGTCACTATTAAGTGTAGCCACAGTGCTGCATAATAGATATTCAGAACTTCTTCATCCGAACTGGAACTGCACTTTAAACTGTCATCTCCTCTTTCTCCATCCCCCTGGCCTCAGGTCTCTGTAACTACCAGTCTACTCTCTGCTTCTATGAATTTGGGGCTTTTTAGATTCCACCACAAGTGAGGTCACACAATATTTCTCTGTGTCTGGCTGATTTCCCTTAACATAATGTCTTCCAGATTTGTCTGTGTTCTCCCAAGTAATAGGGTTTCCTGCTTTGTTAAGGCTTAATAATATTCCACTCTGGTGTGTGTGTGTGTGTGTGTCCCTCACATTCATTTATTCATTCAATGATTGATAGAAACTTAGTTTGACTTTGTATCTTGATTCTATATCTTGAATGCTACTGCAATGAACTTGGAATGCAGATGTCTCTTCATCATACTGATTTCTTCTCATATATGTGTATATGGAAAAAGTGGTCATTCTGTTTTTAATTTTTCAGGCACTACTACTTTCTGTAATGGCTGTACTAGTTTACATTCCTGGGAAAAATGAACAAAGGTTCCTTTTTTCTCCACATCCCATCCAACACTGGGCATCATTTTTCTTTTTGACACTATTCTAAGAAGTCTAAGAGTGATATTTCTTATCATATTAATTTGCATTTTCCTGAGGGCTAGTATACTGAGCATTTAAAAAATATACCTGTTGGCTTTTTGCGTGGATTCTTTTGAGAAATATCTATTCATATCCTCTGCCTATTTTTAAAATTGTTTTTTCTTGCTGCCCAGTTCCTTATATATTCTACATACTAAATATTAACCCTTTATCAAATGTATTGAAATGAAAAAACCAAAGACAAAGCAGAGACTACCAGTCTCAAAGCTTGGCAGAGACTGACAGTCTCAAGGCTTGCCTGTCCTACTAAACCCACAAAGGTCACTGTGCCCAAAAGATGAATTGCTGAAACAACACTTGCCTATACCTCCCTAAGTCTTAAAGAAAAACTGTAAAAGCAACATCTTCCTGTATCTCCTGCCCCTGTGCTAAGTTCTGCTTTTGTAAAATTCTGCTTGCTTCCTCGCCCTGCCTAAAGAGCAATATAAAAATGAAAAAAAACACCTAAAATCAGGGCTCAGATTCTGGAAGGTGACTTCCACTGGGCCCTCTAGCAAATAAACCTTTCTTTACAGTTCTGGACCGCACTCTCTTCCTCGGTCTGCCTGCCCTCCCAGAGCTGTAACAGTGTAATTTGCAAATATTTTCTTAAGTCATCTCTTCACTCTGTTCTTTTGCTTTGCAGAAGCTTTTAAGTCTAATGCAATTCCACTTGTCTAGTTTTACTTTCATTACTTGTACTATGTTATAGTCACAACAAAAACTCACGGCCCAGGCTAATGTCAGAAAGTGCTCCAGTATGATTTCTTCTAGTGGCTTTAAAGTTTCAGTTCTTATATGTAAGTTTTTAATCGATTTTAGTTGATTTTTGCATGGATGTGAGACAGAGGTCTGGTTTTATTTTGTGCATGTGGATATCCAGTTTTCCAAACAATAGTTTTGGAAGGGACTGTTCTTTGTCCTTTGTGTCCTTGGCAACTTTGTTAAATATCAATTGACTATAAATGCACCGATCTATTTCTCTGATCCCTGTTCTACTCCATGGGGCTATGTATCTGTTTGTACACCAACACCATGTTGCTTTGATTATGGTAGCCTTGAAACCAAGTAGTCTGATCCTCCACTGTGTGCTGTTTGCTCAAGATTCCTTGGCCATTTGGGGAAATTTAAGGAGGTGAAAGTTCTACCCTGAAAAATCTTTTTTTCTGCCAACCTACCCATCCATAATAAATCTAATAAGTATCTTTTCCAAAATGAAAGTTTAGGAAGCAGTTTTCCGATTAAATTTTTTTATGTTTATATTTACAGAACTTTTTTACCTTATAATTTTAAAGTTTATGGCTATGATGATGCAGGGATTATGAAACCTTTAGAAGAAGAGGTTCAGGTATGTTTTTTAATTGTGTGTTTTACCTTTATGAAATGAGTTTTTATGATATATTATTTAGGGCCCACTGTTCTGGAGCAGAAGGATTGAGGTTATATCTTGTTTCAACACAAATGTCACCATTTCCTTTTGATGATGTGTACTCAGCCCTGTTAATGGTTAACAAACCAGATATGATGGGGATCTTTCTAGCTTACTTGTTTCAGGATGGTGTGCATGAATGTGCTTCTGTCCATGTGGCAGTAGTTTTTGAATAGGATGTAAAATACCTGGGGCTGGGGCTTTAGCTCAGTGGCACTGTGCCTGCCTCGTAAGTGCAAGGTCCTCAGTTCGGTCCCTGGTACCAAAAATAAAATAAAATACTTGAAAGTAAAAGTGATGGTTTGCATCAGGAAAACCAAATCTAGAAAGTAGAGGAAAATCTAAAGCCACCCTTGGGTCCTCCCTCCTACCCTGGACATTGCCCTCAGTTTCCTGCAGTTCTGAAACCCTGGCCTCCATCCTTCAGCTGAGAGCTGTGTTTCCTGGGGGACCTTAGCTGCCATCCATGCTGCCCTGCCCCGGAAGTCCCTGCCACCCAAGCCCCAGGAACTGAGCATCTCAGCAAAGCCAGGGCCTTCTCTCTGCACTGGTTTGCATCCTCCTTTTCTTTCTCTGCCTGCCTTTGTAGTTGAAGTCTATAAAACTGTCCAGCATTTTTAATTGTGTGAGGGTTAAGTCTGTACAAGTTACTCCACCATGCCACTCAAATTAGTTTAGAAAAATAAACTATTTCTCTTTTAGATTCATTTTGTTTCTCTTACCATACACAATTAAGTCAGAAGAATACAAAAGAATGAGTTTTTGATCATTTTTGCCTTGAACCTAGTGATCAGTAAAGTCCTATTTAATGTATACCATATGAAAAAACCCTCATTCTTTATTTTCAGTTTTAGTTTTAGTTTTGTGCAGTACAGGGGATCGAACTCAGGACCTTGCACTTGCCAGGCAGGTGTGATGCCATCCTTATTCTTTACGAACCTGTGGGATTATTTGGGAAAATTGAGCTATATGCTCATCTACTAATTTTATAAATTGATTATGGAAACAATGAGTACTTGACCAATACACAATATATGTTTGAAATATCTGAAAATGTTATATTTAGCATGAGCTATTCTAATACATATTATATGTATTTCATCTTTATCTTTCAGAATTTTTGCTACTACCAAGGATATATTGAAGGCTATCCAAAGTCTTTGGTGATCATTACCACGTGTACTGGACTCAGGTTGTCATATATAATTGTATGGATTATAAAATACGTTAGATTATTTTTCATGATGGCTCCTACCCTTATGCTGAATTACTTGTATGTTTGGAGAAAATCAAATATTAACGTCTTACCAAATACCAAGCACATTACAATTCTGCGTCCCTCAGTGAGTTTGAGAATACCCAGTAACTTTCTCTAGTTTATTTCCCAAGACTAAGGCTAATAATAATATGCATACCATTGAAAACTAAGTGGCACTTGATTCCTTTGTAAAATGTATTAATTCACTTATACACCTTCTCTTTGGAATTTGTAGGGGCGTACTGCAGTTTGAAAATATTAGTTATGCAATTGAACCTCTGGAGTCTTCTGTTGGTTTTGAACACATCCTTTATCAAATAAAACAGGAGAATAAAGATGTTTCTCTCCATACTTTGAAAAATACTGATTTAAAAAATATGACCTATAAAATACAAACTGTAAAGGTAAGTATGAATAAACTGCAAGGTTATCATTTGACAGCAACATAAATACAGCAATATACTAGCTTTCTGGCAAACAAGTTATTTATTGACACCCTCCACACACAGAGAGACTTCTATCTGGATACATGCACCAAGATTAATTAATTAGTTTGCATGAAAACTAGTTTTGTAAGGTTCCCTGCAGTGCTTTAAATTTCTGTATTATTGGTAGCAATGTTCTCTCATTTCTGATTTTATTAATATAAATAATTTCAATTTTTTGTTGACAGAGTAGCTAACAGTATTTTCATCAAAGTGTGGCTCTTTCCAATAGTACGTTGTGGCTATTTTTCACCATAGATCAGATCTGACCATTTTTCTCTAAAGTAGGTCATTTATTCCTTCATTCTTTTCTCTTTGCCTCATTTTTATTAAAATGTTTTAATTATGTTACTTTCCTCTCCTAAAAGCTTTGAATGATATACAGTTTTTCATATTTTATATTATGCATTACATATGTATATTATGAAATAAAATATAATAGTGATATAATAGTGTTTAATGTCCTTGTTTACAAATTATGGCTCTTGGGCCAAATCTTGTCCACAAACTGCTTTTTGAATAATGGTTTGTTGAAACACATCAATTAATACTATTTTATATATGTGTGTTAATACAGTTTTCATGTCCTTCATACTTTTATAGTCAAATATTTGTGGCAGAGGCCTACAAAGAGACTTCCTATCTCTTTACCAATTCTCCCCATCTTCCTATTCAGAAAATTTTATGTAAATTGCATTATAGAATACAGTGACTTTTGTGACTTCTCTTTTAAGACTGCTTTCATTAACAGAAGAAACCTAGAATAGCAAAAGCAATTCTAGGCAACAGAGACATGGCTGGGGGCATCACAATCCCCAACTTGAAGCTATATTACAAAGCCACTGTGATAAAAACAGCATGATACTGGGAAAGAAACAGACCCAAAGATCAGTGGAATAGATTAGAAGATGCAGAAAGAACTCCAGACATACTCAGTCACGTCATCTTTGACAAAGGAGCCAACCACCCTCATTGGAGGAAAGATAGTCTATTTAATAAATGGTGTTGGAAAAACTGGATTTCAACCTGCCAAAGATTAAAACTAGACCCATACCTATCACCATGCACTAAACTAAGATCAAAGTGAATTAAAGATCTAAATAGTAAAACAGAAACACGAAACTTGCTGGAAGATAAGTTAGGTAGAACTCTTGATGACATTGGGAAAGGAAAAGACTTTATGAACAAATCTTCAGTAGCATGGGAGCTAGCACAAAGAATCAACAACTGGGATCTCATCTTATTAAAACACTTCTGCACTGCAAGAGAAACTACCAACAGAGCTAAGAGACAACCTACAATGTGGGAAGAAATATTTAGCAGCTGTAACTCAGACAAAGGTCTACTATCAAAAATATATAAAGAACTGAAAAAAATCAGACCTCCCAAATTCAAAGACCCAGTTCAAAAATGGGCAACCGAAATGAACAGACATTTCTCAGACAAAGAAGTAAAAACAGCAAGTAAATATATGAAAAAATGTTCAACATCACTGGTCATTTGAGAGATGCAGATGAAAACAACACTAAGATTCCACCTCACCCCACAAAGAATGGCTGCTATCAAGAAATCAACCAATAACAAATGCTGGCGGGGTTGTGAGGAGAAAGGAACCATTTTCCATTGTTGGTGGGAATGTAGATTGGTGCAACCACTGTGGAAATCAGTATGGCAATACCTCAAAGAACTAGGACTACAGGTCCCATTTGACCCAGCTATTCCCCTACTGGGAATCTTCCCCAAAGAATTAAAAGAATCATACCACAGTGATATATGTGCACCTATGTTTATAGTGGCACAATTTGTAATAGCTAAAGCTTGGAAACAGCTCAAATGCCCATCAACTGGAAAGTGGGTAAAGAAGATGTGGTTTTTTAATAAAATGTAGTACTACTCAGCCATAAAAAATGAGAAACTAGAAAAATTTATAGCTAAATGGATGCATAATGAGGCCATACTCTTAAGTGAAATAAATAGGACACACATGTGTAAAAACCAATAGTTTCTCTAGTGTGAGAAATTGAAAGTGTAAATAAGGATGAAAATGATTAAAATGAATAATTGATAATTTGAAATAAGAAAAGGTCCAAGGGTTTGGGGATGGTGGAAGGGAAAGGGGAAAGGGAAGAAGGGAAAGAAAAAAATTATGAGAAAAAAAATGGAATCAAACTCTGTAGATAGGGAAGGGTGGAAGAGGTGAAGGATGCACAGGTAATGGGAGGAAAAATAAAAACTAAGATGCATCATGTTCTGGTACAAACACCCAATGATAAATGTAAATGTATTTTATACCTAAAATGTACCAATAAATATATATTTATTTAAGACTGCTTTCATTTATGTATTTAATTTTAATTCAGGTGTACTGTGTTTATCATCACTAAATACTATAATTCTTCTCTCCATTATTTTCCATCTCATCATCTACATTTTCTGTCTACATCTCTGAAACCTTCTATTTAATTTTATTTGCTTTCCTCTTTCTGTCTGTACTAGTCCCAGTGCTAAAAATTGGATTCCTAAATCTGAATGTTACTTTATCTCACTTTGGGTTATATTCTTATAATTCTTTTCTTTTTTGGAATCAGGGATCAAACTTGCGACCTTGGACTTGCAAGACAGGCATGGTGCCAATGAGCTAAGGCCCCGGCCCATATTCTTATAATTTTAAAGAGAATGACACCAGAATCTTATTTTGCTAATCATTTTATCCTTTCTAACATTTTGATTTATCATTCTATGAAAATATTTGAGTCCTCCATATTAAAAATACAAATAAACAAAATAAAGTAGTGTATCTTAGCTATATATTTACAATTATCCTTTCCTTCACTTGGTTGCTTCATATTGCAAAAAGTGGAGCTGTCATTCTTATTTGCTGATATTCAGAAGAATATGGGTTTTCCAAAAATATTTTAATCAGTGGTAATCCATTGCTAAATCAGCTCTTTGAAATGCTAAAACATTTGAAGAGTGAAATATAATTAAAACCTAACAGTATTTTTAACTCACTATCTACTCTGTAAAACTCCTGTTTTCTGTTTTCACTCTCTTTTCCTTATGCATTTGCATTTAAGTACTCTTATTTCTCAAGTTTAGCTTGTTCATCTTACCATACATTTGTCCATGGCTTTACGTAAGAAACTTACAGATCTTCTATTCCCACTCCAATACTATTCTTCTGAGTCACTGCTCATATCAGTTGCCCAAGTTAAAGAAAAAGACACACATAGCACACATCATCTATGGATCTATCTATCTATCTATCTATAATCTATGTTCTATTGATTTGTCTATCTCTATCTATCTATCTATTATCTATCTATCTACTATTTATCTACTATCTTCATATTCCTTCCCAAACCCACAATATTCATATGTGTTGTGGCTTGTGTCTAGATTTCTACCAAAGCCTTTATACAGTCATTGGGGGATGGCTTTTCAGAGGTGGCTTGATCAAAGGTATGTTGTACTGAGATCAAGGGTGTGTGATTACTAAATTAGTCTACTGGCATAGTTTTGGCTGGGATTAAGAGTGTGAGTGCTACACCAAACTTAGGGCAAGTAGCTTGCATAAAATATAAGGGACAGAATGAGGGCTAATCTCCACTGTCTGCTTGCCATGGACTATTTCTTCTCTGTGATGGTCCTCTGCCCTGCCACCCTGCTTTGGAGCCAGCCAACTATGAATCAAAATCTCTGCAAACTGTGAGCCAAATAACCTTTCCTCCTTTAACTTTGGGTATCAGGTATTTTGTCTTAGCAAAGAAAAGTACCCAAGGTGGAATTAATGAACATATGACTTCTAAATCTACCTTTAAGCCATCTAAATTACAACTGTATCAGCACAGCAGCATGTTCTCTAGTCTGTTTGCCTATATCCAATTCTTCAGTATTTATTTTGACCAAGGAAATTGTCATCCTTGAGGTGGAGTCAAGTTTATGTATCACATATGTAAGCATTCTCATGTCTTCTATGACGACCTTCTCTTACTAAAGGAGCTGGCTTTTGAAGTCTTGAAATCTGGCACCTACCCACCTTTTAACAGATACATGCATTCTTTTATGCTCTTGTATTAAATTTTCATTTACTTAGCTAAAGTGGACTTCTTATTTTTCCCCAAATAAATATGTTTTTCAGTAAATAAAGAAATGAGATTAAACTAAATATTACTAAGCTCCATCTCAAACTTGAAAATGGACAAAGATTTGTTCAGGGAATGTTAGACAACTAATGCTTGGTGTTGGCTAAAGCAAAATAAACCATTTTAAATCCTCCAATCCATTAATATGGTGTCAGTAGTTTAAGTTCAAAAAAATACTCTTACTTATGGATTTTGGTGAAATGATGGAATCTCACAAGTGAAGGATTGTATCTTTCCTATTTAAGGCGTGAAACATTTGGTGTTTAGTGTTGCATGGAGATAGTAAAAAGACTATTAGATCATAAAAGGATTTCATCTGGTCTTCAAAAACAAAACCCTAAATTTCTAAGATTTGGGTCAGGAGAGATAATTTTGAAGCCAGGTAAAATGAGTAGTCAATAAGCTCTAAATTTATTGACTTTTCCCAAAAGTTTTCCCCCTCCAAGTTATTATAGGCATCACTTCTCTGATCTCTACTCAAACTTCAGATTTGTTTCTCCCTCTTTAATACATCTTTTCATATTATAAGGAACAAATTTTAGCTAGTGGGAGATGGTTTTGAACTTGCAATGGATCAGATACCAGTGTAAAACAAGAAGAGCTACAGTCAACATACACATAGTAAAGGTTTTCTCAATTTCTGGTTCTTTTTAGCCATCATCAGAATTCTTTCAGTACATAGAATTGCATCTTATAGTTGAAAAAGATTTGGTAAGTAGATTCCAATTTATTTGTCTTATATCACTTTTATCTTAGCAATGAGGAATTATAAAAATAATTTGAAATTAATATATTGCAGAATAACTTTGCAGTAG